GGCAACATTGTGCACTAATATGCCCCTGGTCAGCTGCTTTTTTATAGCATTCAACTGCTTTCTGTTCATCTTTTTCTACTCCAATTCCATGACAATAACGTAAAGCAAGATTATATTGTATGTTGGCATCTCCTTGTTCCGCTGTTCCGTGATATAACTCACGTAGTTCATCTGTTTCCATTTCATTAACTAAATATACATGCACGAGTACTATCGTTATGTATTAGTATTAGTATGCGGAAAGCACTTTGTCAGCGTTACTAAATTTTCACACAAGATACAATCACGAAAAAGTTTCATCACCTCTATAAATGGACGCACGCTTAGGGAGATTGTGCACTTGAACAACGATAATGCATTAGAACAAAGAAACTGTTACACGAATTAGTAATTAATATTTTTATTTTCTGTTACCACTAAATGCACATACTTTCCTCATTCTACTATTTCTTCGTTCTGTCAACACCGTATTTCTGTGTTGGTATTAATGTTTCTTTATGGTTTACTTTTTTCATTCTTCTGGTAAATTTCATAAGTGATTTTTTCTTGATCTAGATAGTCCCAAGTGTTGGGTGGGTATCATTGATTTTACAGGGAGGCGTTCATCATGGCCAGATAATTCAGGTCTGTCCGAGAAGCAAGCTTGGATCTCATATGAGTCCGTTTCCTATCAACGTAGAGGAACTTGGGAACTGGTCTTATTTCGAACCTCAGACTCATCCAATTGTACTAGCATTTTCAATTATGAAACAATGGTTTTGTATTCCTGCAATAAAGATTATCATTTGCGTCTTGTATAACGATAACATGATCAGCTTATTTCACGTGCCAAATTTTAGAGGTCAACATTTTGCATTGCATTTTATACGTGTATCAAAAAAATATGGGCGATAAAAACGTTCGAAAAAAGGTACAACGTCAAATACTATCTGATGGTTTCGACATGTTCGTCAATGGCAATGACAGTGCATACCGTATCATATCAGTAGAGAAAAAGATCAAAAGAAGAAACCACCTCCAACTCCCCAAGCACAAAGGTTGCCGAGATAAATTACCACAAACCTAGTGCAATCGCAAAACCTCATGCAAGCGGAAGAAAGTATACGGTTAGCGTAGCATTACCCGGGTCTATAGTTGAGAACGCTCAATCCCTTGAGTTGAAGACGCTTCTGGCTGGACAGGAATGTATACATTGAGTGGCAATGCAATTTCTTCGACGCAATTTCATGTGGATTTCATTCACCATTTGCTAATACGTATATAATATTTTACTTACAGCTTGCTCGAGCATTTGCAATTTTTAACGTTGACGAAGTCGTAATTTTCAATGAATCGATACATAAAACCAACCGCGCCGTCGAATCGCCTAATACTTCTGACACATCTACAGACCCAAACGTGTTTCTCGCGCGAATATTTCAATACTTGGAAACGCCACAGTGAGTTTTAAACTTGCAGGTAGAGATCGTATGCAGGGAGTTCGAGATTTATTAAAACAAGTCATTACTATAGGTATTTGAGGAAATCCCTTTTTCCTGTTCATAAGGACTTGCAGTATGCAGGTATTTAATAGTCATTCTTATAGGAGTGTTTTGCATAGCTGATACGTTTGGTGACTTGCTTAACATCACTGCAGGTTTACTGAACCCACTAGATTGCCCTCATCACGTGAGACAGGAAGAAAAGAGTCCATTTCGCGAGGGTGTCGTAATTGAAAAAAAGCTACCGAACGGTGATGGAGCACTTGTCAATGCTGGATTAAAAAAGGTGAACACGTCATGATATTTCTTGCACGCAGGAACGTATCTGACCATTTTTATATATTGATAGTATGTTCAAATTCAACGAAAGGTGAAGCCAGGCGTACGCGTCACTTTGGATATGAAGGATTACACAACGCGTAAGCCCGTTACACCTTTTTTGGCGGTGAAATGCAGAGGATCGAAACAGTCTGTTGAATCGTGTCAATACTTTACTATTATTATAGAAGCCAAGTATTATCAAGCACTTGCTGTATCACCAAAAACTCCACGTGAAGTTGCTGGGTTATATTGGGGTTACGACATAAGAATGGCTGATTCAATATCCAAAGTATTCACACATTGTCCATATCCAGTAAGTCTTTCAATCGAGTGTTTCTCAATTTCTACAAACAGCATCAAGCTAATCGATATGCACGCAGGGAGGCTATGATGTAACAATCGGAACGTCGGAACGAGGACGATCAATTGATGATGTTTTGAGCGGGATACCAGAATTCAAGTATGGCGAATGGATATAGTGGGAATTTGTCTAATTTTTGTTAACCTCTTGTACTTGCTTAGCCACTTGCTGGTAGTATTTGGCGGTTTGGGCGGATTGGAGGTTGCTATTGATGCGGATGATGATTTGAAATGCTCGGCGGAGGATGCCGACGCGCTATTTGATTTTTGGGTCAATACCTGTCCAAATCAAGGAAGCAGAACCATTCGAACAGAGGTTGGTAGTAACTCTGAAGTGTTGCGAATAAAGTGCTTAATTTTAAACCTCTGCTAATAATTATTTCGCAGGAATCAATACTGATTACGATGTCTTCGCTTCGGTCAGCAATTTGTCAGAAAGGGAGAATGTAATTATCTGATCTAAATAAAGGGTTAGTGAGAGTATTCGGTAAGCTTATCATCCATTTGATTAGCTTAACTGCAAGATAATCGAACAATTTATAATCCCAATGATATACTAATACAAAATTCTTTCACTCCACAGCTGACATGTACAAACTTGCAGTTGGAACATAATTTTAGCCTAATAACAAATTTTCATCTTGTAATACTTTTGCGAGCG